GGTTGCCTTGTTTGATATTAGTGAATGAAATCTGCGTTCATTCAATTTGCAATGACTGTTATTTATTTAGCTGTCATATATTTAGTTCACTAATGGATTAAATGATTTTACTCATCTCATTTTTTTTTGTGAGAAATGCATGGGGAAGATTATTACATGATCATATGCTCAGGTTAATTTAGCCAGAATGCAATAGAATATTCTGCTCTGCATGGTGCATTTTTGTGTGTGTGTGTGAGAGGCTGGTTTTTGTATTTAATTTTTTAAAGCAAAATACAGTCAAGCCATACAGTGGCTTTTAATAACATCTTAATGTGGGGTTGATGATTGAATTAGAGCTGTGAAAGAAATCATTTTAATTGTCTAAATTTTGTTTAAATTCATTGATAAAGGGGAAAAATCAATTAAATATTTTGTACAATTTGAAATGTTTGTTTGTGTGTGTGCTTTCTAGTTTACTTTGTATTTGCAGGACCAGCTGCTGTCCTGCAGAGTGCGCTGTTTTATCTAAAAACACCCTATGAAATCTGATTCCTTCTGCGGTCAGTAAGGGTAAATTCATTACGAAGTGCCCCTGTCATAGGTCGTTCTCTTTGCATAAGTGCACATTAAGCTCAGGAAATGACAACAAGCTGAATTTCTTTCAATGTGATTTCTGTTCAATTATTAAGTTATTATGTGACATTTTCTCTTTAAAACAATATTATATAAAACTTTTATTATACTTCCAAGCTCAGTCATTCAAATTAAGTTATGGTAAGTGAAATAAAATTGTTCTTTTTGGTGTAAAGCACAAGAATAATGTAATGCTGCAATTTCATTGGTTGTTATGGCTATTGGTCCTGTGGCAATTTGTTGTTGCTTAACCTAAATTAAGCTAAATTAAGGTTAAGTTTCATTAACCCTAAATTATGCCTATGGAGAGTGCTATAGGTTAGTTGTCGGTCACAACGAGTGAGATTGTTTGACATGGAGCTGCTAAATCTTGAATGCATTCATCTTGACCTCAGGAATCTATTAAAAAAAACCCGCAGAATAGAGTAGAGTCGTCTGGCAAACAGAGAACATGCCGCAATTAGAACAAGAAGCCTATAGAACAAAAATCAACATGGGCATGGCTTTTTGGAGATGGCGAGATCAGGGATTAGAAATGTAAAAGCCATGCGGAGATGTTGTTTTTATTACTCACAGCTAAGTTATTTTATTGAACAGATAAATCGTCGTATTTTGTTTTCTAAAAGAGTTCATTTGTGAAGCATTATCTATTGTGAAGGGTTATTTCATCCACATAGTCACGCAGAGCTGAAGCACAACCAAAACATAGTCTGTCTGTATAAATATTTACTTTATTACACAATGGCAATGAAAATGAACAGAATGGAAAAATAAAGGTAGTCAATGCTCAGTGAGAGATTTAAAAAGTAAGCTTACATGACGGACTCAACTTTTTTCATTATGCTTTTATTTTTGTGATGAGATTTATTATATATGAATGTTTAAATGAGAAAACACAACAATTCATCAATACATTGCTAATACCCACTGAGGTTTGTGCTATTGTTTTCCCACCATAAATGGAGTCACCTCCTGGAATGATGTCATTCAGGACAGGGATATCATCCTTAACTAAAAACTACTAACAAACATATTTGTTAATTGAAATAAAACTGTTATCAAATAGAATATATGTGGTAAACTTATTTAATTAGAAATGTTGCTTAGCAATAAACTGAAACAAGTTTAATTTGAGGCAAACTTTATAAAACTGAAACTGAAAAAAAAAAATAATAATAATATCGCATGAAGAAATTACTAACAATTAACTTATATTAGCAAAATAGAAAAAATAAAAGCTAATTAAAATATGAATAAAACTAAAATAACAGATTTAGGACTGGATTTTTGTATTTAAACATTGGTTGGTTATAGCTAGTTAGGTACTTATTTTATTTTTACTAAACTAACAGGATATAAAGTAATGGATGGATTATACGAATAAGAAAACATGCTTTAAATTTAGACATTTTGAAAAGAATTAAAAAATGATTTGCTTGCAAATTGGCGAGTTCTTAGAATCATAGTGCGTATGGACATTGCCAAATTACAAACCCAATCAAAGTAGTAAAATAATGATAGAAATAATGAATATGATTCTATTGGACATAAAA